CATTGACACCAACTGGAGAGTGAACCAGCCGATGGAAGACCTCTCTCTCTCTGCCTCTCCTTCTCTCTGTGTGTAACTCTGAGTTTAAATAAATAAATCTTAAAAAAAAAAAAAAAAACCTTAGAAAAATTTGGTCCTGGTATTGTGGCATAGCAGGTTATGTTGCTTGAAATGCCCACATCCCATATTGGATTGCTGGTCTGAGTCCCAGCTACTCTGCTTCCAATCCAGCTTCCTGCTAAAGCGCCTAGGAAGGAAGTGAAGGATGACCCAAATAGTAGGGCCCCTGCTACCCTTGATGGAATTCCCTGTTCCTGGTTTTGGCTTGGCTCAACCCAGACTATTGTGACCATCTAGGGAGTGAACCAGTGGATGGTCATTATGTCTGCCTCTGTCTCTCCCTCTGTCATTATGCCTTTCAAATATAGATGAATAAGTCTCTCTTAAAAAAACAGAAAAATGATGGCTGACATTGTGGTGTAGCAGGTAAAATCATCACCAGCATCCCATATGAGCACTAGTGCATTTCCCAATTGTTTCACTTCCAATCCAGCTCCCTGTTAATGGCCTGCAAAAAGCAGCAGAAGATGGCCCAAGTGCTTGGGCTGTTGCCACCCACATGGGAGACCCAGATGAAACTCCTGGCTTCAGTTTGGCTCAGCCCTGGCTGTTGTATCCATTTGGGAATTGAACCAGCAAATGAATGATATCTCTCTCCTTCTCTAACTATAACTCTGCTTTTAAAATAAATATAAATTTTTTTTTTTTGCTTTCAAACTTTTATTTAATGAATATAAATTTCCAAAGTACAGCTTATGGATTACAATGGCTTCCCCCCCATAACGTCCCTCCCACCCGCAACCCTCCCCTTTCCCACTCCCTCTCCCCCCCTTCCATTCACATCAAGATTCATTTTCAATTCTCTTTATATACAGAAGATCAGTTTAGCATACATTAAGTAAATATTTCAACAGTTTGCTCCCACACAGAAACATAAAGTGAAAAATACTGTTTGAGTACTAGTTATAGCATTAAATCTCAATGTACAGCACACTAAGGACAAAGATCCTACATGAGGAGTAAGTGCACAGTGACTCCTGTTGTTGACTTAACAAATTGACACTCTTGTTTATGGCATCAGTAATCACTCTAGGCTCTTGTCATGAGCTGCCAAGGCTATGGAAGCCCCCTGAGTTCACCGACTCTGATTATATTTAGAGAAGGCCATGGTCAAAAGTGGAAGTTCTCTCCTCCCTTCAGAGAAAAATAATTTTCCTGATGTTATAAGACAGAAAAGAAAAATAATAGCCAGTTTGAATCAAACAGTGCTATCTACTATGTATCCATTAAAATTCTCATGCTTTAAACAGCCTCCAAAATAGATACTGTTACCATCAATTGCCTCTTGGTTCACAACACTTAAAATATCATCTGGACCTTTATAGAAATAGTTCTAAATCCTGCATTAAGCCATCTTAACTTGAGTTGTTACTACTGGTTTCCATTTTCACTATGCACATCTGCCTGGCCTAATTTTTCTATCATTTTGCTGTATTTTCTTTCTGTTTATACTTTTTTTTTTTTTTTTTTTTTTTTTGACAGGCAGAGTGGTTAGAGAGAGAGAGAGAGAGAAAGGTCTTCCTTTTGCCGTTGGTTCACCCTCCAATGGCCGCCACGGCTGGCGCACTGCGGCCGGCGCACCGTGCTGATCCGAAGGCAGGAGCCAGGTGCTTCTCCTGGTCTCCCATGGGGTGCAGGGCCCAAGCACTTGGGCCATCCTCCACTGCCTTCCCGGGCCACAGCAGAGAGCTGGCCTGGAAGAGGGGCAACCGGGACAGAATCCGGCGCCCCGACCGGGACTAGAACCCGGTGTGCCAGCGCCACAAGGTGGAGGATTAGCCTATTGAGCCGCAGCGCCGGCCTCTTTCTGTTTATTCTTAAATGAGATCATAGTTCAGGTAAGAAATTTCTTTCTGATAGGAAAAATAGAACTAACAAAATCTTGCCTCTGTTAATTTTTTTTAACTTTCATTTAGCAAATATAAATTTCAAAAGTACAGCTTATGGATTACAATGGCTTCCCCCCACCCCATAACTTCCCTCCTGCCCGCAACCCTCCCCTTTCCCACTCCCTCTCCCATTCCATTCACATCAAGATTAATTTTCAATTATCTTTATATACAGAAAATCAATTTAGTATATATTAAGTAAAGATTTCAACAGTTTACACCCACTCAGAACATAAAGTGTAAAATACTGTTTGAGTACTAGTTATAGCATTAATTCACATTGAACAACACATTAAGGACAAGAGATCCTACGTGAGGAATAAGTGCACAGTGACTCCTGTTGTTGACTTAACAAATTGACACTCTTGTTTATGGCATCAGTAATCACCCTAGGCTCTAGTCATGAGTTGCCAAGGCTTTGGAAGCCTTTTGAACCACTGTTAATTTTAGAGTAGCGCAGAGTATATAATGGAAAAGCTTGAAATATAAGTATCAATTATGATAATTTGAGTGCTCTTAGAAGTTGTAACGTCACTTCCAAGTTTCTTACTTTGGATGTTTTAAGCAGTGCATTCAACAATGCCATTAAAATACTGAATCGGAGACTGCAGTTGTGTGATAAGATCAGTGAATTTCTTTTCAGTTGCATGAAAAGTTTTTCCTTCCCTCTAAGAAATAGATATGTTAGGCAGTATATTCTTGGGTTTGGGTTTTATACCAATTAGAGAGCATTAAACACTTTGTTCACATTTAGTTCATTTTTATTAACCCTCTTATGTAGTAGGCAGTGTGGTACAGCTAATACTTAAAAGCCATTACCTTCAAGTATCTAATAAATTATTATCTACACATCCATGTAACAATATATGTATAACTGGGAACACAAGATATTAGGGGGAATGTCAGTCTGAAGGTTTTTATTACATTTCTTTTCACAGTGAAGTGTGATTTGCCTCTGGAGGCTGGGGAAAGGACATTTGAGGCAAGTGGTGAAGAGCAATGTGTACTGAAATTAGCCTACTAGAGAAGGAAGTCAAACCTGGAGTGGTTTTAATAGGGAGAGAAAGAAAGGTGGTTAAGGAACTGAAAATTTGGCATTAGTAATAAAGAAGTGAGTGATTTGCAGGGGCAGGTGTGCTAGGGAAGTGGAAAAGTTTCATGAAAGCCGTGATCTTAATGATCATTAGTCACCTGGATGGATACTGGGATTGAGAACATCAAGGAACTATAAAATCACAGTGTTGGTGATGGGGTCATCACATCTTTCAGGATATTGGCAGGTCTGGAGAGAAAATCTGTAGCCAAATACTTGAGTCCTTAATGAAAGGATATGATTGGATTACCAGGTTGAGAAGCCTCTGGAATAGGGACAGAGCATTATTACCTATGAATAATCACCTTAATAACAATAACCACCTGTCGTTGAAGGTATGGGATTAATGGTCAGAAGGGAATAGGATAGAAGTTGACAGGAGTGAGGTTGCTTGTGAGTACCTTGTGGTTCTGCATAGTGTGCAAAATTCTGTCACTATAATCCAACACTCTTAGTGATCTCTGGGTGAGTCTAGTGATTGGAATTACTGCCGTAAGTAGGAGAGAGATTTATATGAATCCCAGAAATAGTCTTTGTTGGATACTACTTGGGTCTCTTTCCCTCATTAAGGATACCACAAAAGTGTATCAACGGGAGTTTGAACCATAGCCCACATTTGTTTTGAATAACAACAGAAATTCTGATTTGGTGACTAAATGTTAAGCAATGCAACCAAACAAGTAGAAAATATTTGTGAGCTGAATAATGAATACAGAGAATAGGATAAATCAGAAAGTTCTGTTCTCATGAATAGTATTTGTTTTCATGGCATACTTAGTATAGACATGAGATTTTAAAAGGATAGAAGCCTTCAACAAGGGCTTAATATAAATGATAATTTAAAGTTTTTAGCATTATGCTAGTTTCATATAAACATTCAAATTGACCATGTATGGGTATTCCAGGAATTTCAGTTTTCTTATTAGCTAATAATTTTGGTGCTTTTAATCTTTTTTTTTTTTTTTTTTTTTTTTTTTTTTTTTCAGGCAGAGTTAGAGACAGAGAGAAAGGTCTTCCTTTTCTGTTGGTTCACCCCTCAGTGGCCGGCGCACTGAGCCGATCTGAAGTCAGGAGCCAGGTGCTTCCTCCTGGTCTCCCATGGGGTGCAGGGCCCAAGCACTTGGGCCATCCTCCAATGCCCTCCCAGGCCACAGCAGAGAGCTGGCCTGGAAGAAGAGCAACCGGGACAGAATCCGGCGCCCCAGCTGGGACTAGAACCCCGGGTGCCGGCGCTGCAGGTGGAGGATTAGCCAAGTGAGCCGTAGCGCCGGCTGCTTTTAATTTCTTTTTAAGTAGTGATAGTCATTTTTTTAATGGATAAAAGAGTTGTGATTTTTCTCTTGTATTACAGTTTCTGTAGAGTGTAAAATAGTTGAAAGGATTTTTTAAGTCCTAACATTTTTAGTGATCTACCTTGTATATAATGTTTAATGCAAAGATGGCATACCATTGAGGTAATCCTTTTTATCAAAATATCTTAATGTTATCAAACTTTCCCATGCCCCTATACACATAATAAACTACTGGAATTAGAAGATACAAAAATGCAAATTTGAACAAAATTATATCTTATATACAGTATTACCATGTTACCTTGCAGGGTAGTTCACAGAACTGTCTGTCTAGTGTTTTAATTGATAGACTCTCTTCAGGGCCCCTTCTGGTATAAAAACAAGAGACACATCAGCTGCAGAGAGAGAAAAGATAATGTGATTTACTTTGTAAAGAAACCTTAGAATCACAGTCTGGTAGTTACCTTAGGGTTTTATTGCTGCTATCCTTGCCAGCCTTAACTTAGACTTGCTCTGAAGAACATAACACATAAAGAAAATTATGACTAAATAGTGGTTTTCTATAATTACAGTAATATGTAGTTTTTTGGTTTTTCTTTTCTCCAGTTATGTTCATATCAGATAATGAAAGTTTTAATCCTTCATTGTGGGAGGAACAGAGGAAACAGCGAGCTCAAGTGGCATTTGAATGTGATGAAGACAAAGATGAAAGGGAAGCACCTCCAAGGGTAAGTCTGCTCCTTCAGATTTAAACAGACCTGCTAATATTTAAATTGGTGCTATACACCTCTACTGTGCTACTTGGGTCTTATGAAAAACTACTAAATTCATTCCTTGTCCTCAGGGAACTTACTAATCCAAAATATTTCACATGTGAAAACATTTGAGCACAATATAAAATGATGTTATTAAAAGCTGAATTTCTGGTAAAGTTAATTTAAGAGAAAACCAGACTCTTCTTTAGGCTAGGGAAATTAACCAGAACTTCGTCTCTAATTAGTGGCTTTTAAAACTCGAGTTGAGTTTTCTTCCTTGTTCCCTAAATTTATAGTGATTTTCCCCCTTTCCTTTAAGATTTAATTACATAAATCCCAGAAATTAATAACTTTTTGTTACAGATATTTCGATTCCTTATGGGATTGAGAACATGTGTCACAATGATTTTAGTAGAAAGTACATATTTACAGTTTACTTAAGGATGTAATTATTTGCCACTTATGTACCTAGCTGAATCCCAGAAAATGACAGTTAGGCTGACCTTGGCAGAATTCTGTTCCTGGCACAGGAGACTTAAGTGTATGTGTGAATTTTACATTTGGATAAATGTCTAGATGGTAGAAAGCATATCTGTTTCAAACCCAAGTGACACAATTTTGTCAGTATCCCCACTGTGTCTCCAAATAGAAAATATTTAAGTCTGTTGGAAAAAGATTTCAAAACATTAAAATTTGTAGTTAAGTCTTTAACTATTTTGTGCTAAAACCACATTTTTTAAAGTCTAAAATACTTTTAAAACCTGTCATCTGTCCTCAAAGTTGTGAGCTAGGTATTTGGTGTAGTTCAGATGGATTATAAAATTTTTTGAGATTGACATTAGAAATATTTATGCTTTATGTTTCACTTATTTAATTCCTCTAGGAAGGAAATTTAAAGAGATATCCAACACCATACCCAGATGAGCTTAAGAATATGGTCAAAACTGTTCAAACCATTGTACATAGATTAAAAGATGAAGAGACCAATGAAGACTCTGGAAGAGATTTAAAACCACATGAAGATCAGCAAGTTGTAAACAAAGATATGGGTGAAAAGGTTAGAAAACTCAATTCAAAGGGATTGACAAAGCCTATATCCAACTCATTAAAAATTTTAACTTCTAAATGATAAATTGATCCTTTCTGTATATGCTAAATGTACTTCTAAGTTTGTGGTTTTGTTATCAACTACCTGAACTGCAAAGCTATGGTGATAATGAACTCCCTAATTGCTATTATTATCATTCCATGGCTGTACAATCTTCAGTTTGGCAGGATAGAGTCAACGTAGTCTCTCAAAAAAACCATTGCCTAGGGGATGGCCTCATGGTGCACCAGATTAAGCTGTTGCCTGCAGTGTCAGCATCCCAGATGAGTACCAGTCCGAGTCCCAGCTGCTCCTCTTCCAATCCAGCTCCTTGCTAATGCACCTGGGAAGGCAGTGGAATATGGCTTGAGTATTTGGGATACTGCCACCAGAGTGGGAGAACCATATAGAGTCCAGGCTTCTGGCTTCAGCGTGGTCCAACCCTGGCCGTTGCAGCCAGGAAGAGCTCTGTCTGTGTCTTTCTCTCCCTGTAACTGTTCCTTTCAAATAAATAAAGTAAATATTTAAAAGCAAGAAAATCATTGCCTGAACAAAGAGTATACCTGGGAAATGATTATTGGGAAAATATTATTTGTGCCCTCCAGTAATACTGATCTAATCTATCCAATTCTGATTTCAAAGGTAATTGTTAAAACAGACATTTGAATAAGATTTTATCAGATCATTACAGTTACTGTATATCCCACAATGAGCAGAAAACAATTCTGACCATCAGTGTGGAGCTTGCCAAGTTAAGTGACTGATTTGTCTAAGGCAGCCTTGCAACTTTTAAGGGGAAGAGTAGCCTTAGCTGAATTATCAATTATAATGTGGCACATGAATCTTCAGAGGCCACCTGTTCCCCAAATGGGTATTTTTATCTGTGAGTGATAACAAGTTTCTAAGTTTAAAGTTTCCTGAAAGTTGACACGTTACTTGCAAATTTTTATCTAAACTTTAATACAAAAACAGATATAAGAATTAATATTTTCTTTCACTTAGACTTCAGAAAGTACTGCTGCAATAAAAAGCAAAGTTGATGAAAGAGAAAAGTATTTGATAGGAAATTCTATTTTGAAGATCAGTGAACCTGAAACTGAGATCAGTCCTGGGAGTTTATCAGTGACTGCACATATGAAAGCCTCTGAGAATGTGAAGCACATTGTTAACCATGATGATGTTTTTGAGGTATGATTTTATAATCATTCTGGAGCAGTCGTAAGACTTCGCAAGTTAATATTTGTTTGCTAGCTAAAGATAGAAGCTTGATACTGACTATGGAAAATAATGTTAATAAGTTCATTATTGATATTTACTAGAATATTCTTCACATTGCTTTAAACTTCTCACTTTTATACCTTTGGTGCTCATGTGTTTACTATGTCAATTATATTATGGAGGATATATGTACTGTAAAATACATAATTATATTTACTCTTATTTCTGTAACCTAAAAATGAAAAGGCTGCTACTGTAATTATACTCAATTCTTTGACTTATTTAAGCATTTATCACTGAATGTGAAGGGTGTATTTTGCTAAATATCTGACTTTTTTTTTTTTTTTTTGAGGTGGTCTTTCCTCTAACTTTCTTTAAAGACAATTTTATTGAGATATCTCTCACATACTATACGATTCACTCATTTAAAGCATACAGTTTGTGTCTTTTATTTTCTTTACAAAGTTGTATAGCCATCGTTATAGTCATTTTAGAACATTTTAACATCCCAGAGAGAAATCCCATACTCCTTAACTGTCACTTCCCAAAAATTTACATTATGTGCCTCTATAAAGTTGCCTATTGTTGACATTTTGCATGAAGTGAATCATGTGTTGTCTTTATGACAAGTTCTTTCACTTAGCAAGATACTGTCTAGGTTATCCATCCTGTAGCATATATCAATTTTGCAGTCGTTTTTATGGCTGAATAATACTCTATTGTACATATATACTGTGTTGTTCATCTGTTCTTCATTGGTATACATTTGGGTTATTTCCACTTTTTTGTTGGTAGTAAACAAGACTGTCTTGAATATCAGAATATTTCAAAGTTTGTGGAAAATGGAACTTTTTGAAGGCATGGACTTAAATCTTTTGCTCCAGAATAAACTTTACCTATTAATTCCTTTTTTCCACAAACTTTGAAGTACTCTGTTTTGTGTACAGGTTTTTGTGTGGATATTGCTTTTGTTTTTCTTGGCTATAGAAGAATTATTAGATCATTCAATAACTATGTTTAACTGAGGAACTGCCAAACATTTTTCCCAAGTGGTTGTGCCATTTTATTTTATCTCCATATACTGCTAAATTTATTTATGGACTTGGTCCATCTTCTACTGCTTTCCTAGACCATAGCAGAGAGGTGGATCAGAAGTGGAGCAGCTGAGACTTGAACTGGTGTCCATTTGGGGTGCCGGCCCTGCAGGCAGCAGCTTTACCCACTGTACCACAGTGCCAGCCCCCTGGGGTCTTTACCAAGAAGTCTTTCCTATGCCAGTGTCTTGTAGGGTTTCCCCCAATGTTCCCTAATAATTTGATGGTTTCGGGTCATAGATTTAGGTCACTGATCCATTTTGAGTGAATTTTTGTGTAAGGTGTAAGGTGTGGTTCTTGCTTCATACTTCTGCACGTGGAGATCCAGTTTTCCCAGTACTGTTTGCTCCAGGAGTTGATTTTTGCTCCTTTGTCAAAGATAAGGTGGTTGTAGATGCGTGGATTGATTTCTTGAATTTCAGTTCTGTTCCATTAGTCTACACATCAAACAGATATGCCGTACCAAGCTATTTTGATTATAACTGCCCTGTAGTATGCATTGAGATCTGGTGTTTTGTTGCCTCCAGCTTTGTTTTTGTTTTGTAAGATTGCTTTAGCTATTTGAGGTCTCTTGTGTTTCCAAATGAATTTTAGCATCATTTTTTCTAGATCTGAGGAGAATGTTTTTGGTATTTTGATTGGGATCAAATTGAATCTAGAGATTGCTTTCGGTAGTATGGACATTTTGATAATATTGATTCTTCTAATCCATGATTGTGGAAGGTTTTTCCACTTTTTTTATGTCTTTTTCTATTTCTTTCTTTAATGTTTTGTAATATCCATCATAGAGATCTTTGAAATCCTTGCTTAAATTTATTCCAAGATATTTACATTTTTTTGTAGCTGTTGTGAACGGGATTGATCCTAGAAGTTCTTTCTCAGCCATGGCATTGTAGGTGTATACAAAGGTGTTGATTTTATATCCTGCTACTTTTAGAGTTCCAGTAGTCTCTTAGTGGAGTCTTTGGATCCCCTATATATAGAATGTTGTCATCTGCAAATAGGGATAGTTTGACTTCCTCCTTTCCAATTTATATCCCTTTGATTTCTTTTTCTTACCTAATGGCTCTGGCTAAAACTTCCAGGACTATATTGAATAGCAGTGGTGAGAGTGGGCATCCTTGTCTGGTTCCAGATCTTAGTGAGAATGCCTCCAGTTTTTCCCCATTCAATAAGATGCTGCTTGTGGGTTTGTCATAGGTTGCCTTGATTATGTTGAGAAATGTTCCTTCTATACTCAGTTTGCTTAAGGTTTTCATCAGGAAAGGGTGTTGTATTTTATCAAATACTTTCTTTGCATCTATTGAAATAATCATATAGTCTTTGTTCTTCAGATTGTTAATGTGTTGTATCATATTTATGGATTTGTGAATGTTGAACCATCCCTGCATACCAGGGATAAATCCCACTTGATCCAGGTGGATGATCTTTCTGATGTGTTATTGGATTTGATTGGCTAGTATTTTGTTGATGATTTTTGCGTCTATATTCATCAGTGAACCTGGTCTATAGTTTTCTTTCTCATATCTTTTTCTGGCTTAGGAATTAAGGTGGTGCAGGCTGCATAGAAGGAGTTTGGGAGGATTCTCTCCCTTTTAATTGTTTGAGTAGCTTTGAGAATGGTAATTAGTTCTTCTTTCAATGTCTGTCAAAATTCAGCAGTGAAGACGTCAGGACCTGGGGTTTTCTTTGTTGGAAGGGTTTTTATTACTGATTCAGTCTCCATCTTGTTTATTGGTCTGTTTAGGTATTCTGTGTCTTTGTGACCCAATTTTGGTTGATTTATGTGTCCAGGAATCTATCCATTTCTTCTAGGTTTCCCAATTTGTGGGAATACAACTATTTGTAGTAATTCCTGATGATTATTTTTAGTTCAGTGGTATCTGTTGTTACATTTCCTTTTTCATCTCCAGTTTTATTGATTTGTGTCTTCTCTATTTATTTATTTAGGTTAGTTGGGCCATTGATGTGTCAATTTTATTTTTTCAAAAAACAAACTCTTCATTGCACTGATGTTTTGTATTATTTTTTGGTTTCAATTTTGTTTAGTTTTTCTCTAATTTTAATTATTTCTTTTCTCCAAACTAATTTTGGGTTTAGTTTGTTGTTTTTCTAGGTCCTTGAGATGCACTGAAAGCTCATTTATTTGGTACTTTTCCAATTTCTTGATGTAGGCACCAATTGCTATAAACTTCCCTCCTAAAACTTCTTTTGCTGTAGCCCACAAGTTTTGATATGATATATTGTCATCTTCCTTCATTTCTGGAAATTTTTTTGATTTCTCTTTTGATTTTTTTCTATGACCCACTATTCATTCAGGAACATGTTGTTTAGTATCCATGTGTTCGTATATGTTCTAGAGATTATTGAGTTGTTGGTTTCCAGCTTCAATCCATTGTGATCTGAGAAGATTGATGGTATGATTTCATTTTTTTAATTCGCTGAGACTTGCTTTATGCCTATATACTGTATGGTCTATCCTAGAGAAAGTTCCATGCACTGATGAGAAAAATGTGTATTCTGCAATTGTGGGATGAAAAGTTCTGTATATAGCAGTTAGGTCCATTTGATCCATCGTTTCTGTTGGCTCTGTTATTTCTTTGTTGATTTTCTGTCTGGTTGATCTATCCATTGATGAAAGTGGAGTGTTGAAGACCCAAATTACTATTGTATCATAGTTTATGTCTTCCTTTAGATCTGTTTAACATTTCTTTTAAACAACTAGGTGACAGGGCATCTTTGTTTTTTGTTTGTTTAAGGAATACAACTTCATACATTTAATATATACCGGGAACCTTTTCTTAAGGACTTTTATTTTCATCATATTCACATGGAATGATTTAGCCTGCAGATGAGTTTATTTCATATCTAGCACATATATACGTGTGTGTGTGTGTGTGTATATATATATAATTGCTTCTACTACTAACAAGCTATTTCGTACTGATAGCATTCAGTGATAGCTAATCTGGACCAGTTACCAAATATTAGAGACAAGATCATAGAAAATTATTTTAAAAATCTGTCTTCAAATTGGGTAGAAACTGAAATTAGTTTATTTTAATACCTGACCACCTCAGTCCCTATGAGTCCTTGAAATCCAGTGATCCTTAAGAGAATACATTTGAGAATTAGGGAGTGGCTTTGTTGAAACACCCTGACTAAACCAAAATTTTTTTTTTTTTTTTAATAATTTTTTTTTATTTGACAGATAGAGTTAGACAGTGAGAGAGAGAGAGAGAAAGGTCTTCCTTCTGTTGGTTCACCCCCCAAATGGCCGCCATGGCTGGAGCTACGCCGATTTGAAGCCAGGAGCCAGGTGCTTCTTCCTGGTCTCCAACGCGGGTGCAGGCACCAAGCACTTGGGCCATCTTCCACTGCCTTCGCGGGCCACAGCAGAGAGCTGGACTGGAAGAGGAGCATCCGGGACTAGAACCCAGCGCCCATATGGGATGCCGGCACCACAGGTGGAGGATTAACCAAGTGAACCGCGGCGCCGGCCCCATAAACTTAGTTTTTTAAAGATAGGAAGTGGCTTTTATTCTTTTCTGTTTGTCATGCCCTTGACATAGTACAAGGAACATGGTCATGATTAATACACTTGAATTAAGGCCTACGTAAGAAAATTATCCCATAGGTACATTATCATATTGTTAATAATTGCCATAGTTTGGTACAATTTGATGTGTACCTGGAAGACTGCAGGTGATGGTTCAAGTACTTGGATGCCTCCCAGCCACGTGAAAGACCCAGATTAAGTTCCTGGCTCCTAGCTTCAGTTGATATAGCCTGGATGTTGTGGGCATTTGGGTCCTGAACCAGTACATTAAAGCTCACTCTCTCTTTCTCTGACTTTCAAATAAATTTAAATAAATTAATTAAATTTTCCCATAGCATTTTTATTTTTAAAAACTAGTTTGCGGGCCGGCGCCGCGGCTCACTAGGCTAATCCTCCGCCTAGCGGCGCCGGCACACCAGGTTCTAGTCCCGGTCGGGGCGCCGGATTCTGTCCCGGTTGCCCCTCTTCCAGGCCAGCTCTCTGCTGTGGCCAGGGAGTGCAGTGGAGGATGGCCCAGGTGCTTGGGCCCTGCACCCCATGGGAGACCAGGAAAAAGCACCTGGCTCCTGGCTCCTGCCATCGGATCAGCGCGGTGCGCCGGCCGCAGCGCGCTGGCCGCGGCGGCCATTGGAGGGTGAACCAACGGCAAAGGAAGACCTTTCTCTCTGACTCTCTGTCTCTCACTGTCCACTCTGCCTGTCAAAAAATAATAAATAAAAAAAAATAAAAATAAAAAAAACTAGTTTGCATCAGCCGGCGCCACAGCTCACTTGGCAAATCCTCCGCCTGTGGCGCCGGCACCCTGGGTTCTAGTCCTGTTTGGGGCACTGGTTCTGTCCCGGTTGCTCCTCTTCCAGTCCAGCTCCCTGCTGTGGCCTGGGATAGCAGTGGAGGATGGCCCAAGTGCTTGGGCACCTGCACCTTCATGGGAGACCAGGAAGAAGCACCTGGCTCCTGGTTTCGGATCGGCACAGCGCCGGCTGCAGCGGCCATTTGGGGAGTGAACCAACAGAAGGAAGACCTTTCTCTCTGTCTCTCTATCTATATCTCTACCTGTCAAATAAATTAAAAAAAAAAAAAAAAGAGCCCAGGCTCTAAAAAAAAATAAACAAAAACAAAAAAATGATGGCCATAGTTTAATTGCCATGTCTTGAAAAAATTGCATCATATGCTAATTTTAGTCACAGTTATCATGACAAGTTTTCATATATGTTAATATTTAATATTCTTTGTTTTCCCTTTGAAGTTCTTATAATGTAATACTCATTTAAAGAAAACAAAATTTAATTCTTGTGTTTCCCCCTTCTTTCTTTGAACTAGGAATCTGAAGACCTTTCTTCTGATGAGGAGATGAAAATGGCAGAGATGAGACCACCATTAATTGAAACCTCTATTAACCAGCCAAAAGTTGTAGCACTTAGTAATAACAAAAAAGGTTAGCTATTGAAGGACAGCAGTAAAGAACAGAAAAGATCTAAAGGAAAATTTATAAATGGAGGGGGAAGTGGGAGATACGGGCAGATTCATTGAATGTCATGTTGTTTAAAACATACTTTTAAAACAAGTGCTTTTTGTTTTTTGGGTATTTTTTAAAGATTAGAGCCAGAGAAAAACCATCTGCTGGTTCACTCCCCAAGTAGCCCCAAAGGCCAGGACTGAGCCATGCAGAAGCCAGGAGTTTCTGAGGTCGGCGCTGTGGTGTAGCAGATAAAGCTGTCACCTGAAATGCCAGCATCCCATGTGGGCACCGGTTCGAGTCCTGGCTGCTCTACTTCCGATCCAGCTCTCTGCCATGGCCTGGGAAAGCAGTAGAAGATGGCCCTAGTCCTTGGGCCCTTCCATCCGCGTGGGAAACCCAGAGGAAGCTCCTGGCTTCTCCCTTCGAATCAGATCAGCTCTGGCCATTGTGGTCATCTAGGGACTGAACCAGCAGATGGAAGACCTCTCTTTCTGTGTCTGCCTCTGCCTCTCCCTCACTCTGCCTTTCAAATAAATAAATCTTAAAAAAAAAAATCCAGGAGCTTCATCTGAGTCTCCCATGTGGGTGGGGCTTGGGCCATCTTCTGCTGCTTTCCCAGGCCATTAGCAGGGACCTGTTTCAGAAGTGGAGCAGCTGGGACACATACTGGCACCATATGGGATGCCAGCATCACAGGCAGCAGCTTTACCTTTAAAGAAATATTTTTTAAAAATATTTTTTGAAGAGTTACTATATTTATTTGAAAGGCAGAGAGACGTACAGACAGACAAGACGGATCTTTTGCTTGTTCACTCCCCTAATGGTTATGGTAGCCAGGGCTGGGCGAGACCAAAGTCTGGATCCTCCATCTGGTCTTTCTTGTGGGTGGCAGGGACCCAAGCACTTGGAACATCTTTCACTGCTTTCCCAGGCACAAAAGCAAGAAGCTGAAGCTGAAGCAGAGCGGCTGAGACTCGTTCCTGTGCTCTGATATGGAATGCTGGCATTGCAGGCAGTAACTTAACCAACCTGCTGTGTCATGATGACAAGTCCCCTTAATCTTTTCTCTCCCCTCAAACAAATTTACTTATGGGGACACGGACCTCACAGTCAGAGAAACCTAAATTTCACAAGTGATTCCATTTATATAATTTATCTACCACATGATCCTTGAGTTACTTAATTTCATCCATATGTATGAGAATATATGTAATTTGACATACAGTGAGGCTAATGAAAGATTTTATATCAAATTGACGATTATGTAAACTATTCAGATCCAGTACAGTACCTGATGTATGGTGGATGTTCATTGTTATTTTACTCTTTAATTATTCCAGAACATTTTTTTAACTATCCCACCAGCTATTTTTTCATGCAACAGAATCTCACACATGAGATGATTTTTGAAGGATGTCCTTACTTCCCTTATCCTACTCCACCAAAGCCCGGTTATCTCTTCATTACTATCAAATGCTTATCCAGCCTTTAGCCATTATGACATCAGTGTTGATGTCAAATTGGCCCTTGGATGGCTTGTGTTCATAATTATGATAGGATACCTAGTATGCATTGAGTATTTTTTTAAAGTTTTATTCATTTGAAAGAGTTACAGAGAGAGGTAGAGATAGAGAAATACAGGTCTTCCATCCGCTGGTTCACTCCCCAGATGGCTGCAACGGCTGGAGCTGCGCTGATCCAAAGCCAGGAGCCAAGAGCTTCCTCTGGATCCCCCACGTGGGTGCAGGGGCCCAAGGACCTGAGCCATCTTTCATTGCCATCCCAAGGCCATAGCAGAGAGCTGGATCAGAAGAGGAGCAGGCGGGACTAGAACCTGCGCCCATATGGGATGCCAGCGCTTCAGGCCAGGGCTTTAATCTGCTGTGCCATAGCACCAGCCCTGCATTGAGTGTTTTCCTTACTACTTACTTAGATACCATGCTAAATATTTTGCATGTTATTTTCTAGATAACCCTGTGATGAAGAAGAGGAAGTAGAATATGTCCAGGAAAGAACTTAACAAACATCCAGTTTAACCATATTTCTTAATAATCCAAGACCCAAATACCTTGAAGTTGATGTTATAAGACTAGTTAAGCTGTGCGTCTGAGATCTGAGAACAGTAAAAATATCTTTAACTCATATACCCTTAATGGATGTGTCTGCTTATACTATTTCCATGGTTTGGCTAGACTTGAGTGAAAACAACCTTTTCTCACTGCTTTAAGTAACTACTTTTTACATCAACTGTCCAAAATAGAATATGACCACTGTCTGTTTTTGCTTATATAATTCTAATACAACCATCTCACATTATGAAATGCTTTAAAAACATAAAGAAATGAGAGAGCTGACCTTGAAAATTCCTTGGTTTTTCAGTTGGTGATTGTAGTAGATTGGTTGCATTGTTCATTTCTGTTACCAGATTTTTAAAAATCCACTCATGTATGAAATGATTTCTTATCCAGATAAGTTGTTAAACTGTAACTATTTTTGTGATGAGTTTTTCAACTTGTGAATTGATAGAAGGCATATTCACTAAATTTGATGTTCTTAGAAAACAGCATATCACTAGTTAAAAATCTAGGTAGCATTAATAGTTAAATTTTTAAAAATTCGGCCGGCACCGCGGCTCACTAGGCTAATCCTCCGCCTTGTGGCGCCGGCACACCGGGTTCTAGTCCTGGTCGGGGTGCCGGATACTGTCCTGGTTGCCCCTCTTCCAGGCCAGCTCTCTGCTGTGGCCTGGGAAGGCAGTGGAGGATGGCCCAAGTGCTTGGGCCCTGCACCGCATGGGAGACCAGGAGAAGCACCTGGCTCCTGCCTTCGGATCAGCGTGGTGCGCCGGCCATTGGAGGGTGAACCAACAGCAAAGGAAGACCTTTCTCTCTGTCTGTCTCTCTCTCACTGTCCACTCTGACTGTCAAAAAAAAAAAAAAAAGTGGCATTTCTGTTTTAAAATTCTGTTATCTTTGTGTTAAAACTGAATTTTCGGTGCTGGTGCTGTGGCATAGGTTAAGCCTCCACTTGCAGTGTCAGCATCCCACATGGGCACTTAAGTCCTAGCTGCTCCACTTCCTTTGCAGCTCCCTGCTAATGTGCCTGGGAAAGCAGTGGAAGATGGCGCAAGTGCTTGGGCCCCTGCACCCGCATGGGAGACCTGGAAGAAGCTCCTGGCTTCTGGCTTCGACCTGGCCCAGTCCTGGCCATTGGCAGCCATTTGGGAAGTGAACCAGTGGGTGGAAGATCTCTCTCAGTCTATCTCTCTCTTCTCTCTATATCTCTGCCTTTCAAATAAATAAGTATTAAAAAAAAAAAAGACTGAATTTTTAGTGATGTTCTCTTGTCATCTTCTTACCATATGATTTATTATTTCATATATGCAATCAGAACTATATAAATGCCATTTGTCATCAACAAAAAACATTTCATACAAATTCTTAGTGAATTTATCATTGGTCTTAAATTCTTTGTTTCAGATGATATAAAGGATGCAGATTCTTTATCAGATGAAGTTACACACAATAGCAATCAGAATAACAGCAATTGTTCTTCTCCATCTCGGATGTCTGATTCAGTTTCTCTTAATACAGATAGTAGTCAAGACACCTCTCTCTGCTCTCCAGTGAAACAAACTCATATTGATATTAATGCCAAAATCAGGTTTGTGAACATTTTAGAAAATAATTTATTCATTTAATAATTAAGTAGAAATGGGCAAATTTTAAAAATCAAAGTGTTTCGTGAATAACTATAAAAGTGGTTCTAAAAAAGATTCTAGCAACGTATATTTTCTCTGCCATTTTACTACTAATTATCTGCTTAGTTAAATTTATAATCACCATTTTCAAGTAAGTTTTTTAAATGGAGGAATAAAGAATTCAGTTAGATTCTCAATCTCCTGATTCAAAGGTTGAACAAATTATACAATATTTCTAGGTAAATGAGTAGAAAAAGATATTTTTGTACTTAGAAATTCAGAATCATTTTGGGGAGATGCCATTCAAAGGTCAATTCAGCCAGGACTAGATTCGGTGCCTATATGGGATGCTGGCGCTTCAGGCCAAGGTTTTAAACTGCTGCGCCACAGCGCCGGCCCCTGTAATATCTTTTTTATAGTGTAGCCATATTAAGCCATTTTGTGAAAATTAGCTTTAATGCATTGGTCACATTTAATGTAGGTATGTCTGTGTAATTATGTTTTACTTGTTACCAACTACTATAAATCATTATTACTTGACTATTAAGATAATATTTCAAAATTACATTCTTGATAATAAATGCATTTCATCCGTGCTTCTCATCAACTCTAACTTTGTACTAACTAGATACTAATGTCCCTAGTTGCTAAGAATACGTAACTTTTTGTTTTTCTTAAAATTACCTTTATTTTAGGCAAGAAGATGAAAATTTCAACAGCCTTTTACAGAATGGAGATATTTTAAACAATTCAACAGAGGAAAAATTCAAGGTTCGTGATAAAAAAGATTTTGACTTACCTGAATATGATCTGAATATTGAAGAGCGATTAGTTCTGCTTGATAAAGGTGTTGAATCAACAGCCACATCCAATGAATCTCAGAAATTAGACCATCTCAATATGAATTTTAATAAACTTATAACTAATGAAACATTTCAACCTGATATGGCGGGAAGATCAAAGACGCAAGATATAATGCTTGGAACCAACTTTTTAAGCAGTAATTCTAAAAGAGAAGCTGAGCCTTTGGAAAATGGAAATAAGTATCCTAATTTGGAATCCACAAACAAAGTAAATGGACATTCTGAGGACACGCCACAGTCTCCTAGTAGGGCTGAACCACATGGCGTTGATGCTACCGTTGACGTGGGTATTTCTAAAAGCACTGAAGATCTCTCTCCTCAGAGAAGTGGTCCAGTGGGATCTGTTGTGAAATCTCATAGCATAACCAATATAGAAACTGGAGGATTAAAAATCTACGACATTCTTAGTGATAATGGACCTCAGCAACCAAGTGCAGCAGTTAAAATCACATCTACTGTTGATGGAAAAAATATAGTCAGGAGCAAGTCTGCCACGCTGTTATATGATCAACCATTGCAAGTATTTACTGGTTCTTCTTCATCTTCTGATTTAATATCAGGTACAAAAGCGATTTTCAAGTTTGATTCAAACCATAATCCTGAAGAGCCAAATACAGTAAGAGGCCCCACAACAAGTGGCCCACAATCTATGCCTCAAATATATGGTCCCCCACAATATAACATCCAATACAGTAGCAATCCTGCAGTCAAAGACACTTTGTGGCATTCTAAACAAAATCCACAAGTAGATCAAGTAAGTTTTCCTCCTCAGCGCCTTCCTAGATCAGAGAGCACAGAAAATCACAGCTATGCCAAACATTCTGCCAATATGAATTTCTCTAACCATAATAATGTTCGAGCTAACACTGCATACCATTTACATCAGAGACTTGGCCCCGCAAGACATGGGGAAATGTGGGCCATCTCACCAAATGAACGACTCATTCCTGCAGTAACTCGAGGTACAATTCAGCGACAAAGTAGTGTGTCCTCCACAGCCTCTATAAATCTTGGTGATCTAGGTCCCACAAGGAGGGCCCAAATTCCTGAGGGAGATTATTTATCATACAGAGAGTTACATTCAGTGGGAAGAACTCCACCAATGATGTCAGGATCACAGAGACCTCTTTCTGCACGAACATACAGCGTTGATGGTCCAAATGCATCAAGGCCTCAGAGTGCTCGGCCTTCTGTTAATGAAATACCAGAGAGAACTATGTCAGTTAGTGATTTCAATTATTCACGGACTAGCCCTTCAAAAAGACCAAATACAAGGGTGGGTTCTGAACATTCTTTATTAGAGCCTCCAGGAAAAAGTAAAGTTCCTCATGATTGGCGAGAACAAGTACTTCGACACATCGAGGCCAAAAAGTTAGAAAAGGTAATTGAACATAAATTTATTCTATTCTTTATGAGCTTAACTATTGTCTCATGAAATATTTAAATAAGATAAAACAGGATACTCTAAATCACTGATTGTCTGTGTTTTAGGAGATTTTCCCTAATACTGAGAGTTCTAAGTTTAAACTTAACCAGGACACTTGAGGTGGTAGTGTATGCTTCTTTTCCCTTTCTCATTCCCCGGTTTTTCTGATGGGTGAATATTCACTTTTCATGTTTATGTCTTTATCTCTTTTAGATTGTTCACACATGAGAAATAATACATATGTACCTCCATTTAGGATTTTCTGACCTCCTGTTCTCTATTGTTGGCCTTGTAAATATTGTAAGAAAATAGCAGTTTACTTGTGTAGTTAATAAAACAACAGAAAATGTATTGCAAATGTAAATTTTTCGCCCAAGAGTTTTATTTTTCCTCATCTATGTTATCTTGAACTAACCTTGTTACTGACGCAGAAGGCTTCTGGCATGGCATTCTGGACTTTTCTGAACTGCATTTCTGACCATGTTCAGCTTCAGTTGTTATTCTCAGAAAGATACATAAAATGTGATTAGTGCACTGTATCTTCCTTTTGAGTCTCAACCAATATTTAGTTCTTTCTAGTGTGACCCTCTCAACTTTAAATAGCTGAGTGTCTGTCAGCTTGCTTTATTCTCTTTGGTCCTTTTTGTTTCTGTTGTAACTACATACTGTTGAGGTTATTTGAACTTTTGTACTTTTCCTAAGAAACTTGGAAATTTCTTAAGCAGAGGAGTAACATAGCTGTGTTTTATAAATAAACTTCAGGTGATAGTATAGAACTGACTGTAGTCAAGGAGATTGCATTAAGAGGCCAGTTAGTGATCCAGATAAGAAATGAAATATAAACTTTTATTAGTGGAGCTGAGACAAAGGAATGAATTCAGGAGCCATTCTGAAACAGACTTTTTATAAGCGTTTACTTCTGATTGAGCATTCCTATAAGTAGTCACTAGGGAAAGAGGACAAACCTTGAGATTTTTGTCTTGAATAACTAAAACAGTTTTGGGGAATACTGTTTGCAATTACTGGACATAGAGGAAAAGTAGCAGATTTGGAGGAAGAGAGAAATTTTGATTATTTTCTGTGTAGTTTAATTCTAAGACTGTTCTCTGCCTCCTTTTCTATCAGACAGATATGCCTGAACTTTAGTGAATAGGAAGCAGGTAGCAGCCAGCTGTCTCATTGCTTTCCATGTCTTTTTTTTTTTTTTTTTTTCTTTAAGATTTATTTTGGGGGTCAGGGTTGTGGTATAGCAGGTAAAGCCACAGCCTGCGATGCTGGCATTCCATATGAGGACTGGTTGAAGTCCTGTTCCACTTCCAATCCAGCTCCCTGCTAATGCCCCTGGGAAAGCAATGGAAGATGGCCTAAATCCTTGGGCCCCACCACCCATGTAAAAGACCTGAAAGAAGCTCCTGGCCCCGCCGGCACCGAGGCTCACTAGGCTAATCCTCCGCTTTGCAGTGCCGGCACACCCGGTTCTAGTCCCGGTCGGGGTACCGGATTCTGTCCCGGTTGCCCCTCTTCCAGGCCAGCTCTCTGCTGTGGCCCGGGAAGGCAGTGGAGGATGGCCCAAGTGCTTGGGCCCTGCACCCCATGGGAGACCAGGAGAAGCACCTGGCTCCTGCCTTCGGATCAGCGTGGTGCGCCGGCCAGCGGCCGTGGTGGCCATTGGAGGGTGAACCAACAGCAAAGGAAGACCTTTCTCTCTGTCTCTCTCTCTCACTGTCCACTCTTTCTGGCAAAAAAAAAAAAAAAAAAAAAAAAAATTATTGCAGGGACTGGCATTGTGGCACAGCAGGTTAAGCCACCACTTGTGATGCTGACATCCCATATCAGACTAATAAGGAGTAAGAACTTCTTAAATTATTTTCACTGAATTACTATTAATATTAGCACTTGTGATATTCTTTATTATATAAAAATTCAAGTATGAAGCAATGCAAACCATAACATGGTTAACACAACATGATAAATGCCATGTTGGTTTGTATTATGCAGCTGTCAGCATGTAATGAACAGGATTGCCGAGAACATCATGCCTAACATTTAATTGAGCTCTGCACATGGGTTGTGACAGAGTACAGTTTTTTGGGTTTTTTTTTAAGATTTATTATTTATTTGAAAGGGTTACACAGAGAAGGAGAGGTAGAGAGAAAGAAAGGTCTTCGATCTGCTGGCTCACTCCCAAATTGACCGCAACGGTCAGAGCTCTTCCGATCTTAAGCCAGGAGCCAAGAGTTTCTTCCAGGTCTCCCACGTGGGTACAGGGAGAAGTTGGGCCATCTTCTGTTGCTTTCCCAGGGCATAGTGGAGAGCTGGATTGGAAGTAGAACAGCCAGGACTCAAACTGGCGCCCATATGGGATGCCAACACTGTAGGTGGCGACTTCTCTGCACCACAGCACCAGCCCCTGTATATTTCTGGACCTGCATGTCATTAAAAAAGACCACTCTAGTTAACAACATGCTAAAACTCTGTGTGTCATTTGTAGTGTTTGGTGTATGTAATTAAAATATATATATGTATATGTATGTATGTATGTATTTTAGAGATGGAGAGAGAGATCTTCAAACCACTGGTTTACTCCCTAAATGTCAGCAACAACCAGGAGTGGATCAGACTGAAGCCAGGAGCCCAGCACTCAATCCTGGTTTCCCACCTGTGGCTGGGACCCAGTTACTTGAGCTATCACCACTACTTCCCAGGATCTGCAGTAGCAAGAAGCTTGAGTCAAGAGCAGGGGCAGCTGTGAAACCTAGGCACTCCCTTATGGGACACAAGTGTCTCAACCAATGTCTTAACCACTAGGCAAACATGCCTGCCCTGATTTCTTTAATTTTAGGTGTTTTTGTTTTTTGTTTTTTGTTTTTTGTTTTTGTTTTTTTGACAGAGTTATAGACAGAGAAAGGCATTCCTTCCATTGGTTCACTCCCCAAATGGCCACTATGGCCGGTGCTGCACCGATCCAAAGCCAGGAGCCAGATGCTTCCTCCTGGTCTCCCATGCGGGTGCAGGGCTCAAGCACTTGGGCCATCCTCCACTGCACTCTTGGGCCACAGCAGAGAGCTGGACTGGAAGAGGGGCAACCAGGACTAGAACCCGTCACCCATATGGGATGCCAGCACCGCAGGCAGAGGAATTTTTCTTTTTTTATTTTTTAAATAGGTCTGTTGCACTTTTTTTGTTGTTGTTAAGATTTACTTATTTTACTTGGAAGAGTTAGAGTGAGAGATCTTCCATCCACTAGTTCATTTCCCAGATAGCGGCAAAGGCCAGGGCTGAGCCAGGAGCTTCATGCGGATCTCCCACATGGGTGACAAAGGCCCAAGCACTTGAGCTATCTGCTGCTGCTTTTCCCAGGCCGTTAGCAGGGAGCTAGCTATATCAAGAGTGGAGCAGCCAGGAGTCAAACCAGCGCCCACATGGGATGCTGGTGCCAAAGGGGGCAACTTTACTCACTGTGCTGCAGCACCAGCCCCAATTTCTGTATTTCCTGCTAACAGGCCATGCACACAAAATATGGGTTTCCCAATATGACCATCAAGAGCTCAGTATTCATGGACATGACTTAAAGCATTCACATGGGCCGGTGCCTTGGCTCAATAGGCTAATCCTCCACCTGGTTCTAGTCCCAGTTGGGGTGCCAGATTCTGTCCTGGTTGCCCCTCTTCCAGTCCAGCTCTCTGCTGTGGCCCAGGAGTCCATTGGAGGATGGCCCAGGTCGACCAGGAAAAGCACCTGGCTCCTGCCATTGGATCAGCGCGGTGCGCCGGCCGCAGTGGCCATTGCAGGGTAAACCAACAGAAAAAGGAAGACCTTTCTCTCTCTCACTGTCCACTCTGCCTGTCCAAAAAAAAAAAAAAGCATTCACATGAAATAACACCATAACACCGTATCAAAAAGTGAAAGCCAGACAGTGCACTTACTGAAGGTACATTTATTACCAGAGATGGCTGAATCAGGTTCTTGTCCCCCTCTTAGTAAAGAGTTTTCAGATCTGAGACAGAGTGGCAATAAACAAGCTAATAAAGTTTGATGAAGCCAGTACATCCAACAGGCTAGATGGGCAGCTCAGCAAGGAACTGATGTCCAGTGTGCATTTAGACTGGGGTTTATATGGGTATGTGATCCATTTCTTGCTGTTTCTCCTTGCCCTTCCTTCATTTTCTGGGATGTTGCTAAGCAGAGCTTTTTCCAGTGAAATTCATGAAAATGCTCTTGAAGTTTCATTTTCACAGTGGTATCAGACTGAACAGGCCCTCCTGGTGCTGCTAGGAAGATTCCTCTGTGATGTCACAGAGAAGTGGGGAAGGCTGGGAACCCTCAACAAGGTTGTTGAGCATGGGCAGCACTCTTTGAAGGCTAATGTGTTCTTTGCCATGTCAACTTCTTTTTTCCTTTTGGCTCTTTTACACACATGGGCTGTTGTGTACCTTTCCACCCAACACCTCTGAACTCAGTCTGTGGGAGGATTCCATGAGTGGTTCCTCAGGTTTAGGCAGCAAAGGCCACCAGTACTCCCAAAATAGAGATCTTTTTGAATGGGAAAAATGTGTTACACATGCATTTTTTAGTTTTTTTTCTTCTGGATATTGTAGAGCAGCAGGAACCTTTCAAAAGTTTTATCCTAAAATGTGTGTGTGTGTGTGTGTGTGTGTGTGTGTGAAACTTTAATGTAAGATATTTTTATAAATGTGGAAGATACCTTTTTATAGAAATGGAAATTGGCATGAGTCAGATACTTCTCACAAATATATTTTGCGTTAGAGTATATATGTTTAACCTCTCAGTTTACTTAGTAAAATAGAATTCGTTTCTGTAAAATGAAGTGAATGCTCTAGAAATCCATTTAACTTGGTAAAGTTCATCTTTATCTTGAGAAATCAGTTTGTGCATGACTATCTAAATATATACTTGAATATTGTGTCAGTTTCTATTTTCTGAAGCATAAAAAATGTGTTAGGAAATAATAGCATGATAAAAGAGCTATATGTTTGTATATCTTCCCTTGTTTTTAATTTATGTGTATATTTGTGTGTTATCATGTAAATATATGGTAAATAATATATCTTTCAGTGGCTCTGACCACTTCTTTCTGTGCATCTAAACAAATTCAACTTGCATGAGATTTCTGTGTGGTATTGGGATTACTTGTAAATAAGTCTATATACATAACATGTCTTGTGGATTTTGCATGCTACACTAATCTCTTAAATCTGTCCCCTCTTCATTCAGAGCATGCTGTCAAGGTCCTTTAATTCCAATTTGACTGCTGTAAGCAGTTTTCACTATGGCAGCTCTAGGGATCTGCATGGCAGCCAGGGCAGTCTTGCCTTGAGTGTTGCAGACGGAAGAGGTTCTGGTGGGCACATTTTTCGAGTGAGTACCTGTAGTAGACCAATATTTCTAGCACATTAAAGAGAAAACCCCAAATTTTAAATGTTTTTTACATGGCTCTAGAAGAAGTTTTTTTACTCTGGATTAGAAATCTTGATTTCCTCCAAGTTCTTCCATGGCTTAGTTCTAAAACTTTCTTCAATGCCGATTTAGTCTAACCCTTCATTTTCTTTGGTCATAAGTTAACATACTATTCTTTTTTATCTGTGCAAAAAGAGCTTATCAGTTAGGAGTAGCTATCTGAGAGGCTTTTTTAAAACTGTTATTCTTTATAGGTTTTTCTTTTAATAGTAAAATTAACTCACTCTCCCTTATTCAGGGTTTTAAGGCTATGCTGTATTTAATCCATAGAGCTCATTCAGGAAGGAATAATTTTACCTCCAGTGATTGGCCTGGAACTAAATTTAATCATTATTCACTACGTCTGATGAAATATGATGCTGGAGAAGTTGTAGTAATACCGGTGAGAAAGCAAAGGCCAGATCCTTCATCATACTCATATTTCACCATAGTCCTAAGTAGCGAACGGAAAGGTTTATTATTTTAATGAAATTAAGGGCAGAGAAAGATGTGACCAACTCTGGCTTGGCAGTTGTAGCAAAATTTTTCACACCATAACAACTTTTTTTTTTAAGATTTTTTTTATTTATTTGAAAGGCAGAGTGACAGAGACGAGAGCTCTTCCATCCACTGGTTAACTGCACAAACGGACCAGGAAGAAGCCAGGAGTTTCATCCGGGTCTCCTGTGTGGCTGGCAAGGGCCCAAATACTTGGGCCATCTTCTACTACTTTCCTAGGTGCATTAGTAGGGAACTGGACCTGAAGTGAAGCAGCCAGAATACGGGACACAAACTGGCACCCTTATGGGATGCTGGTACTGCAGGCAACAGCTTACCAGCCCCATCACCATAATAACTAGAAGCAGCACATCTCCTAAACAGATAACTTCTTCTGCTCCCTCCTCCCATCTTGAAATGAAAAGATTTTTCTCCCCCATAACTGTATTTCATCCCCTTTCCATAGTTTTTATTTCCATATTGACTGCTTACTTCTCAGTCTTTCACTTTTTCCTAGTGTCACTATCACCCTTCTTTTCTTGAATATAAGAGGTCTTCAAAAAGTTCTTGGAAAATTAATGTTATGAAAAGTCTATGCATGGTTTTCAAACTTTTTTTACTTCAAAGTAAACTATCTTTAATTCCATTTTTTCATAAACTTTTTGAAGTTCCCTTCTACATTCCTGTTTTGTGTTCTAGAATAGGAACAGTCTCTTGGGTTTACTTTTCACTGGCTACCATCTGACCTAGTCTTAACCCTGTCTTTTGTCACCTAGCACCAATTGATTCCTGTGCTGTTGAAATTTATTTATTTATTTGGAAGGCAAAATGAGAGTCATGTGAAGAAACATCTTTTATTTGCTGATTCACCCTCCATCTTACCCCAAAATGCCCACAACAGCCATAGCTGGGCCAGACCCAAAATCGGGAGTCGGGAGCCAGGAGCCAGGAGCGGGGAACCAGGAACCAGGAACTGTATCTGGGTCTCCATTGTGGGTGGCAGGGACCTAAGTACTTGAGCCATCATCTGCTGCATCCCAGGGTTTTCATTAGAAGGAAGCTGGATCAGAAGCAGAGACAGGATTCCATCCCAGGCACTCTAATATAGATGGGTCCCAAGTGCCAGTTTAACCTTTGGCCAAAATGCCTATCCTTCCATATTCTTTTTACAGTAACATTTTGTGCTTATTTTTCTTAAATCCTTTGAATTTTTTTTCATTCAAAATATGCTTGTTCAGGCTTGGATTTAAATTTCAAGCTGCAAGTTGATTATTACATATTCTAAAAGCGTATCACAAGAAGGAAAATATTCATTGCTTATACACACAAAATTAGCTACCATGTCCAAAATTGCTAAGCCATGGTTTGAACTAGCAACTAGGTCTTCAAGGTAGATATATTGCAAAAATCATTTCTAAGATATAAATTTCTAATGAAGTAGATTTCAGATTATTTTTCAACATGGTAATTTATATTTCTGTTGCTAGTCATGTACTGTTTTGAAAATAGTGCTGTTTATCATAATCTGTTTACTAATATATGTCTAGATGTGCTTAGACCTAAATTATAGTGAAAAATACAGGTGTCTTATTTCTTATAATATGAAATATTCAGGGATAATGAGATTGAGTCTGTTTTTCCTCTAAACCAATCAGTAAGGTCAATTATTAAAGTATTGTTTGGCATATGAAGATACAAACTAGTTGATATTAGAAGCATTTCTCCAAATCAGTGCTTTTAAAATAATGGGACAGAATTAAGTTAAAGTAAGTTTTATAAGACCATAAATTTATTGGTGCTGCTAATCAGTAAAGTTTAGGGGGAAAAAAAATCCCATGTGGTACCATGCTATTAAAAGAACAGTGGTTAATTTTTTTTACCAAAAAAAAAAAAAAAAATTTTTGTGGTGCTCATCAATAGTATGTTTAATTTGCTCTTAAAATTTGAGACCCTTAACTTTGATTAATAATTGAATTTATTTCTTAAGTGTAAAAAATTGTGTATGGTATTTTAAAAAGGAAGAAGAAACGTAGAAGATTTTGTCTTCTATGTGTGTCTGTTACTAAGAAATAGATTAACAGTATGCATCTATCATGTTTTTCACACATTGCAAGAACAAGCATCTTGCCATGCACTTTTGGAAGAAGTTAAAGGTAGTAATTGATGGCAGTGATGATGATAATGTTCAATTTGGGCTGTCATCTTTCCACAATCTAGCATTATTTTTTGATAATCTTCTCTCAGTGTCATCATCATTTTGGTTTCACATCTTGAAGAGCATTATTTGTTTACCTTTTATTTCCTCCTCATTTGAACCATCCCCAGACATCCAGTCCAGGAGATCCTTGCCAAGATGATACATTCATTTCAGGACAGCAGAACTACTCGTCAGCTACACTTAGTCACAAAGATGTTCTTCCAGACAGCTTGATAAAAGTAGGTGCTCAGGAAATAAATGAAGTAGTATCTGTGAGTTTACTGTGTTTTGCACTAGAACTACCATTTATGCTTTAACTGATAATACTTTTTTTGAGAAGGCTTTCCCATAATGATTAATTAGGTTTTTTAATTCAGAAATAAAAAAAAAAAGAATTTGTCTGTTATTCTTGGTTTATTTCATGAGTTTCCATATTGGAAAATTGTTTTATTGATGCATTTGAATTTCTCTAGTACTACCTACTTATAAATATTATCATTTGAAGCAAGGGCTTTTTGTTATTCTTGATAATACACCCATTTGGAGAGTTGAATATCAACTTGTCTTAAATTCTTTATTCTAGGATCTTTTACCATTACCAAATGTTATTAAATATACTTCAAATGTTGTTAGAGATCACCTTGACTTTTGTATATGAAATAGATAATGGTTGTGTTCTCAGCCCCTTTTTAGCCCAAAAGAAAAAAGGGTCACTCATTTGGAAATAGATTATCTGTGGCCAATGCCAGATAGCTAATTCTTTACTATTTTCTCTCAGCTATTTTTCTCATTTTATTAACTAATCCTGTGCCTTCTAGTATAACCAAGTATAATTATAAAGCATAATTATTTGTTTTATGTAACTTTTCCTTATGAGAATAGATACCCAGGCACCTGATACATAAGTTAGACACATCTGTTTTACGTGAGCTTTTTTTCTTTTATTTGAACTGTGTCATCCAGTTCTTTTTTTTTTTGTCATATGCATTGTGTGATTTGCATTTCCAAGTTTATTTTATACTTTTTAATATTCTGAGCCATCTGGTAATCATAGCTTAATATAGTTCATGTGTGTGTTAAACATTGATACAGGCAAGACCAAAAGTCCAGTTGTGAGGACTCTTTGGTCAGTAGTAATTATTATCTGGATTTTACTTGGGAGAAAGATGCTGAACCTGCACATAGGAATAAATGATACAAACTTAGAGAAACACAAGGGATAGCTGCAGAACTGTGTACAGTAGAGCAACAGCACAACCAGTTAATTACTTCTGGGCAAATCAAGTACTTTAAATCTATAGTGACCAGGTAACAAATAACCATAGTTTCTTCAAAAATAACAGGGATAATATGCCTCCTTATTTTCTTTTTCATCACCAATACAAGATTTGTCCTACAGTAGTATAATCTTTGTGCTGTGTCATAAAATCTCCACTCACAATTTTGTACTAAGTTCTCAGGTCTAACAATGAAAGAGTACATTTTTTTTTTAGATTTATTTATTTATTTGAAAGTCAGAGTTACACAGAGAGAGGAGAGGCAGAGAGAGTGAGAGAGGTCTTCCATCCTCTGGTTCACTCCCCCATTGGCCACAACGGCCAGAACTGCGCCACTCCAAAGCCAGGCGCCAGGAGTTTTCTTCCCAGTCTTCCCATGAGGGTACAGGGATCCAAGGATTTGGCCATCTTCCACTGCTTTCCCAAGCCATAGCAGAGAGCAGCCAGAACTTGAACCAGTGCCCATATAGGATACCAGCACTGCAGGTGGCAGCTTTACCTGCTACACCACAGTGCTGGCCCCGAGAGTTCCTTTTTTAAAAAAAGTATACATTTTCTTCACCTCAGTCTGACTTTTGTGTATCTTTCAGCAAGGCCAGACATTCACATAAGAATTTTTTTTTTTTTTTTTTTTTTTTTTTTTTTTTTGACAGGCAGAGTGGACAGTGAAAGAGAGAGACAGAGAGAAAGGTCTTCCTTTGCCGTTGGTTCACCCTCCAATGGCTGGCGCGCTGCGGCCAGCGCACCGTGCTGATCCAAAGCCAGGAGCCAGGTGCTTCTCCTGGTCTCCCATGCGGTGCAGGGCCCAAGCACCTGGGCCATCCTCCACTGCCCTCCCTGGCCACAGCAGAGAGCTGGCCTGGAAGAGGGGCAACCGGGACAGAATCCGGCGCCCCGACCGGGACTAGAACCGGGTGTGCCGGCGCCGCAAGGCGGAGGATTAGCCTAGTGAGCCGCGGCGCCGGCCCTCACATAAGAATTAACGTGCAGGTCTAAAAATGTTACCAGTTTCCAAACTTTTCTAACAAATTTTTAAATGATTGAATAGTTTAAATGTATTTATTTCCCCCTTTTTATGCAAAAATATTTTTGTATGCAAATATTTATAACATGAATGTAGCCTGTTTTTCTCCCTCATACTAATAAGCTGCAAAGGTGAAGTCTAAAATTCAGGCTCAGTCACTAAAAAATGAGCAGCATTTAAAGCAAAGATAGTTCTTTAAACATGATAAACTAATAATCTCAAGTTTTTGTTTGGTTTGTGAGAAATAAAGTAAAATGTCAACAGTTGATTCTTGCAATTAATATGAGATTTATATTATAAGAGTTTTAAATTTCAAATTTATAAATACACATAGGAGGAATAAAGAAACTTTCTGCCACATAGATAATTGAATTGGGTTGTTAAATCTGGAAAGTAAGGAATAAATGTAGAAAATTAACTCAAATTAAGGAAAAGTGTACCACAAAGTTAACTTTTATCTGAAGAAAAATGAATGGATATACTCTTTAAAAAAAAAAAAGATTTATGTGCTTGCTTCGGCAGCACATATACTAAAATTGGAACGATACAGAGAAGATTAGCATGGCCCCTGCGTAAGGATGACACGCAAATTCGTGAAGCGTTCCATATTAAAAAAAAAAAAAAAAGATGTATTTTATTTATTTGAAAGAGTTACAGAGAGACAGAGTTCTTCCATCCACTGGTTCACTCTCCAGATGGCCGCAACAGCTTGGAGCTGAGCCAGTCTGAAGCCAGGAGCAGGATCTTTTTGCGGGTCTCCCACATGAATGCAAGGGCCCAGGGACTTGGGTTGTTTTCCTCTGCTTTCTGAGATACATCAGCAGAGAGATGGATCAGAAGTGGAGCAGCTGGAACTTGAACTGGCACCTATGTGGGATGCTGGCACTTCAGGTCAGGGCTTTAACCCCCCTGTGCCACAGCACCAACCCCTGGATATATTTTGAATGTATGTGTGTTTGATTAACTTTAGTATGGGGAAAGATAGTCATTTACATTTACTTAAATTTTAATTAAAAGTTCTGAATACTATTTACCATTTTAATACTTGGTTACTGTAAAAAGTGTAGGAACATTTATGTCTAACAAAGCAATAATTTAAAGTATAGATGATATAGTTTCATTTGAAAGCTTTAAAGAGTGAATCTATCAGGAAAGTTTAGAATTAAGACACTAATACCTTCTTTGTTTTAAGGTTTAAAATTAGAGAAAAATAGTAAGTGGCATGGTGTTATGTAATTTAGAATGTTAAAACTCTAGTGATTTAGTACTTTAATCCTCCAAGAAAAAAATCCAAATATTTGTATTAAGACATTATTATTGGTCATTTTAAGATACTTCATGTTTTTCTTAGATGCCTTTGAGTAATGGACAGATGGGCCAGCCTCTCAGGCCTCAGGCAAATTATAGTCAAATACATCACCCCCCTCAGGCATCTGTGGCAAGGCATCCCTCTAGAGAACAACTAATTGATTACTTGATGCTGAAAGTGGCCCACCAACCTCCATATACACAGCCCCATTGTTCTCCTAGACAAGGCCAAGAACTGGCAAAACAAGAGGTAAGAATAATCAAGACTACTTGAAATATGAGACTAAGCTTGTCATGTGTTTTTATAGGTTATTTAATTATTAGCAATAATACTATATAGAGTTTTAGCATTTGTTTAAAGGTTTAGTTTTATATTGTTTATATGATGTTAAACTTCATAGATCATACCATAGGAGCTAGTATTTCTGGAGTGGCTTTTTTTTATTTCAAGGAGATTGTTTTTCCAGAAATAATTGATAATATTCCAGTATTTAGACCTTCTATAGAAGTATAAATACTAGGCTGTTAAGCTGTGACACAGGCTTCATTCCTCAGATTTTGAAATTTGACTGGACTAGAAGTCTACATACTATTGTCATATTTAATCTTAAAAAATTACTTAAATTCCTAGGCCATTCATATATATTGGTAGTTTATTGATAAAGTGATAAATACTGTTAGGAATTTAGATAAAGATCAAGTGCTTTGTCTTGGCTGAGTCTCTGATAAAAGGGAGTAATCTGTGAAAAAGTTTAGTTGTGATAACATTTTTATAGCTAGGTTATAAACACTATCAGTTTCAGGAAATGAAGAGTTATTATCCCAAAACCACAAATGAATATTTTAGATATATTGTGAAACAAGCCAATAGACGGAGATACTGTTTAATTTAGACGGTCCACAAGTACAAACTGATAATACCTGTGTTGTGCTTATGTCATTAGAATCCATGGTATCTAAATAGTAAAATAGGGTCAACATTAATTTCCTAAGATAAGCAAAAAATAGGAGCTATGCTTTGTAATCCTAGCTGTGCCTTTAACTCACTAACTCATTAACATAATGTTCTGTGTTACAGTGTCATTTCATCTGCCCAAATGTTTATTTTTGAGGAATCCTTACATATTTATTTGAATTTAATTCACCAATATTTAATATGAATATTGTCATGTTGTGGCTTGTTTTGGAATAGTTATAGTAGTGTTCTTTATTTTCATGTTAACTCAGATTCGAGTAAGAATTGAAAAGGATCCAGAGCTTGGATTTAGCATATCAGGAGGTGTTGGAGGTAGAGGAAACCCATTCAGACCTGATGATGATGTAAGCTTTGTTTATTAATTCCAATATCTCTTGTATATAAGTGAAAATTGAATAGATGTTTATGTAAATCTGGATAGATATCGTTTTTTGAATTTCCCTCTGTATTATTTAACTTTGGTTTTGAAATTTGATCAGTTCAAAGTAATTGAGAAAGAAAATATAACCAGAAATTTTGAATGTTCATGATAATATCAAGTGCTTCTTAATTTTCTTACTGCTTTTCCATACCTCTGTGAAAGTAATTCTGTGACTTTTTTTTTTCCTTTAAGATTGATTATTTATTTGAAAGGCAGAGTTTCAGAGACGGAGAGGGAAAGAAAGAGAGAGATCGTCCATTCACTGGTTCACTCTCCAAATGGCCAAAGCAGCCAGGACTTGGGTGATCAGGAGCCAAGAGCTTTTTATGGGTCTCCCACATGGGTGCTGGGGCTCAAGTATATGGGCCATCTTCCACAGCTTTCCCAGGCACATTAGCAGGGAGCTGGATCAGAAATGAAGCGACCAGGACTCAAACCAGCATCTATATGGGATGCTGGCATCGCAATAACCCCCCACACCACAGTGCCACACCTCCCCCTTTTTTAAAGATTTATTTTACTTATTTTAAAGACAGAATGACAGAGAAAGAGGGAGAGACAAAAATCTCCATCCACTAGTTTACCCCCCAGAAGGCTGGAGCCAGGAGCCTGGAACTTTATCCTGGTCTCCCACATGGGTAGCAGGGGCCCAAGCACTTGAGCCATCTTCCATTGCTTTCCCAGGAGCAACAGCAGGGAGCTGGTTGGCACCAGCTATTGGCACAGCAAATTAAGCTTCCCACTAGCAAAAATAGCATCACATACCAGAGTGCCACTTCAAATCCCAGCTGCTCCACTTTTAATCCAGCTCCCTGCTAATTGCCTGGGAAAGCAGCAAATGGTGGCCCAAATACTTGGGCCCCTGCCGCTCACGTGGGAGGCCTGGATGGAATTCTGGCCTCCTGCTTTCAGCCTAGCCCTGGCCATTTGGGGAATGAACCAGTAAATGGCCTATCTCCATCTTGAGCATGAGTGCTTGCTCACATTCGCATAATCACTCTCACTCTGTCACTTCACCTTTCAAATAAATAAGTATTTAAAAAAAAAAAAAGTTTTAAAAAAAATAAATGATTGTCACACTAGGACCCTAAGAAATCTTGGGCCATGATTCACATATTTACATGACATGAAAATAAGATTGCTGTGTGTACTCTGTTGTTTATGCATATTGTTTTGTGGTAAATAACTTTCTTGTTATTAAAGGGTATATTTGTAACAAGAGTACAGCCTGAAGGACCAGCATCAAAATTACTGCAACCAGGTGATAAAATTATTCAGGTAATTAAGATTTTTTATTTTCCCATGTCCCCTCTTTTTCAGTTTCTTTAGGTGCTTATTTTATCTGAACATGCACAGCGTGGCTCTGGCTTAGAAGACAGGCTCAGAGAAATACAGCTCTCGTTTTCTATTCCTGCCTTCATTGTTAATAGTGCAGACATTCATCTTTCTTATTTGAAGAGAGACAGAGACACAGAAAGAGAGAGCTCCTATTTGTTGGTGCTGGTTCATTCCCAAAATGTTTGCAGCAGCCGGGGCTGGGCCAGGTTGAAGCCAGGAGCTGAGAACTCAATTCAGGTTCCTTGAATGTGTGACAGGAACTTAAGTACATGAGCTGGAGCCAGGATTCCAACTCAGGCATTCTGATTTGAGACGCAGGTTTCCCAAGTGGCATCTTTAACCACTAGGCCAAATGTCTGCCCCCAGTAATTAATTTTTAAAAAAATAAATAATCCTCAAACTAAAATTAGGATAGAGATAGTAAAGCTTATTAACCTAAAGTACAGACTCTGGGACTGAGGCTGCCTGAGTTTGATCCTGGATCTAACAGTTTTTAAAAAATATAATTTAGGGGGAGATATATAGTAATTTGTAAGTTTTTTATACATATAATTTTAAAAAGTTTTTAGATAATTTCAAACTTAAAAGTTACAAGAATATTACAGCAAACACCTGTGTACACTTCTTTTTGTCACCAGTTGCTCATATTTTGCCACATTGTCTTTAGACTTTGTCCTCTTCCCTTTCTGCTCCCCTCCCTCTCCATGCACACTCACACATTCATATACACTTATTTTTCCTGAACCATTTGGGAATCTATTGCAATTTTATGACTAAGGAAATTATTTTACCTCTCCATGCCTGGATTTTTTTTTCTGTAGAAGAAGATGAAAAACTTTTGAATGTTGTTATGAAAATCAAAGAATTCAATTCATGTTCTGAAGCACTTAGGACTGTGTGCATGGTACATAGTAAGACCTCAATAATGTCAGCTTTAATTCTAGGTCTGGTGGTCTTCATCTAAGGCAAATGAGAAGGCTAGCGCCCCCTACCTTGCAGTTTGGTCACTTCAGGCTACATTAGGACACACACACAGACAGGACCATGTCTGACACTGAATTAGACAAGTGTTTACTACAGTGGGCTGCTCCATAAGATTTGTCTGAAAACGTGGACAAAATGCGGGTTCCTGGACTACATCTTCAGAGATTTTATTTACAAAGGTATGGGGTAGGACCTGTAAGCCTGGTGTGTTTTAAGTTGCCAAAGTGATTGTTATTTTCTGCCAGGTTTGTGAACTACTTGGCAGAAATTTAAGTACAGAAATGCAAATAAATTATATGAAATGTTTTTCTTAAAGACATTTTTCCTCTTTCTTTTAGGCTAATGGCTACAGTTTTATCAATATTGAACATGGACAAGCAGTGTCCTTGCTTAAAACTTTCCAGAATACAGTAGAACTCATCATTGTACGAGAAGTTCCCTCATAAGCACTGTGGACAAGCAAGGGGGAAGACAGCAAGATTTACTGGAAGATACTTGCAGGGGAAATTAATATTTTGACTATTTTTATATATAAAGAACTCAAAAAATTATGTTCAAATTTGTACATTAATGAAATAATGGAACTTGTGGTTAGAGGGAAAGAACCACTGTACAGAATATAAAGAAGACTGTTGAATTCGTACCATATGAAACTTACTGTTAGGTTTTTAAACATAGCAATCAAGGCTGCAGAAACAAACCCACGTTGTTTTTGTATAGATGGTGGCTTTATTTTTGGATTTCATGTACATGACTGTGTGCAAGGCAATAGTTAGCCTTGACTGCAGCCCAGAGGCGGATGGCAGAGCCGTCTGCCTCATAGCTTTTGTGCCCTTATTTTTATTTGACTGGGATTAATGTTTTCTGCTGAAACTACTTTTCTTAATGTGGGCAGAGATTTGAAGTGTTGGCTTTTGCTATGTGCATATTGAATTGAAGAGTGAGTAGGTGAAGGTGGTGCTGATGGGTTCACTTTCCAAGGCCAGATTAAAAGTTATTTCCTATAAAGATCTGGAAGCAAAGAATGAAAAAAAAAAAAAGCTGTCCATGTGTTTTTATTGATCGAATAATGCAATAAAATATGTAATGTCTTTTTTAAGGAGTGGAAAAGACAATAATTACATTTTAAGAGCTCTACAGGATCTGTTCTTGTCATAGTAATTGACTATACATTTGTTACTGGTGATTCAGTTTTTAATTTTTTAGTCACAGGAAATTTTTTAACTCTACTGTGGATGCATGTCCATGCATTTTCTGTGCTATGGAAATCCCCTGACTTTTTTGTTTGTTTGTTTGTTTATTTGTAAATGGTGGTACTTGCAATTTGTTTTATAATAGTACTCCATTTAAATCTAATTTATAATTTTTTTATTTTAAGCAGCAAGTGAAATTAAAATGGCCAGTTTTAAGATTGTGTTACCTGTAACACAAAACGTAAGGAGGTTTAGGAAAGCCTTTTGACTTCTGTTTGGCCTTGCATTGCCTTGGTAAAGTAAAAGGAAACATGGAGCACGCATGGAGCTAGGAAACCAAAGCAAGCTTGTGAGCTGGCACAGTGAGAACCGCTGTGGAGAGCTGTAGAGCAAAGGGAGGGTCCTTGAGGCCTGCTCGTGTGTGAAGACGTTCAAATAAAGGGCTGTTCCTACAGGTAACGTTAAATGTGAACTCAACACTTCAGAGTCTTTAAAGGGTTTCTTAAGTTTATCAGTGTAATAGTGTTTTACCACCAACTGCCTTTTGTTCCTCATTACTGTAACAAATATTTGATGATAGAGGTTTATTAATTTTGTTTTTCCAAACCATTAATTTTTTTCTTCTATGTAATCAAATAAAATTTGAGTAACATGCAGTGGTAAGAATTAATGCATGGTTATTTGGACCAGAAAAAAGTGCCATAGAAGACCAATAAATGTTTTAGTTGAGGCTAGTCTTTAGAGCAATATTCAGTTCTTGCAATTCATTTTTAATTACTAAGAAAATTTGGGAATTTTTAATATGTTATGCTTTATTCTTTATTTAACTTTGATTTAATAAAAATTCTTATAGGACTAGCGATAAAACACCAACCTGCATTATTTTTGCAAGAATAACTTGGATTCATTTTCCACATATGCTAGTCAAAGTTACTAGGCAGCACTTTTTAAAATATGTGAACTCAAATATTGCACTTCTTTCAAGATGTTGTCAATTGGTTATTGTACTGTATAGTTTTAATAATTTTGATTGAAACCCTTTAACAACTCTTTGTAAATTTTAACTCATTTTAGTTGATTTTCAGTACTATTTACATAGGAATTGATTTTTATGGATATAGTAGAAGAAATGTGCTGTATTTTGATAAAATTCACTTATTGTATGTGTGTTGTAATCTCTAAAAAAAAAGAATGACGGCTTCTTTAAAACAAGTCTCTGTTCCCTTTTTTCTTAGATGATCTATAATCTTCACATTCTCTATTGCTTTTAAATTTTCACAATCACATTGTGTTTTTGTTAAGATTTATTCATTTATTTGAAAGAGAGAGTGCCCTTTTTTTTTTTTTTTTTTTTTTTTTTTTGGTGACAGGCAGAGTTAGTGAGAGAGACAGAGAAAGGTCTTCCTTCCGTTGGTTCACCCCCCAAATGGCCGCTACGGCCGGCGTGCTGTGCCCATCTGAAGCCAGGAGCCAGGTGCTTCCTCCTGGTTTCCCATGCAGGTACAGGGCCCAAGCACTTGGGCCATCCTCCACTGCCCTCCCGGGCCACAGCAGAGCTGGACTGGAAGAGGAGCAACAAGGACAGAATCTGGCGCCCCGACCGGGACTAGAACCCAGGATGCTGGCGCCGCAGGCGGAAGATTAACTTAGTGAGCCGTGGCACCAGCCTTTTGTTTTTGTTTGTTTGTTTAGTGAAGAGAGAGGTCTTCATCCGCTAGTTCACTCCCCAAATGGCCGCAACGGCTGGAGCTGTGCTGGCCTGAAACCAGGAGCCAGGAGCTTCTTCCGGGTCTCCCACACAACTGCAGGGGCCCAAGGACTTGGACCATCCTCTGCTGCTTTTGCAGGCCATAGTAGAGAGCTGGATTGAAAGTGGAGCAGCCAGGATTCGAACCGGCGCCCATATGGGATGCCGGCACTGCGGGTAATGGCTTTACCTGCTACGCCACAGTGTCGGCCCCTACATTATGCTTTTGGTCAGGGATACATGAAACTTATAATTGTGAAGTGTTCAGCTACTTTATTCTAGATACACAGATTACAAATTTGGAAAAGGAACTAACCCAAAGAACAGTTGGTTTTTCAGTGATTTTTTAAAATTAATTAATTCATTTGAAAGAATTTTACAGAGCAAGAAGGAGAGGCAGAGATAAGAGAGGTCTTCCATCTGCTGGTTGACTCCCCAATTGGCCACAATGGCCAGAGCTATGCTGATCCAAAGCCAGGACCCAGGAGCTTCTTCCCCGTCTCCTATATGTGGGTGTAGGGGCCCAAGGACTTGGGCCATCTTCTACTGCTTTCCCAGGCCATAGCAGAGAGCTGGATCAGAAGTGGAGCAGCCAGGACTCAAACTGGCGCCCATATGGGATGCTGGCGCTGCAGGCAGCGGCTTTACTCACTACGCCACAGCGCTGGCTCCTCAGTGATCTAATCTTAGCTTATTTTTCTGCCTATTAAAATATTACAAGTATAGCATGTGTTATATGCACTAATATTTTATTCTGTTTAAGTTTTTGTGATATTATTATAATTAAAGATCGAATGAGAATGTTTGTTACCAAGAGTAACACATGATACAACCTAAAATTAATAGCGTTAAAGTTTTGCACTTAAGTTGGGGGCTGGTGCTGTGGCACAGCAGGTTAAAACTCTGGCCTGAAGCGCTGGCATCCCATATGGGTGCTGGTTTAGTCCCGGCTGCTCCATTTCTGATTCCAGCTCTCTGCTGTGGCCTAAGAAAGCAGTAGAAGATGGCCCAGTGCTTGGTCCCCTGCACCCACGTGGGAGTCCCAGAAGAAGCTCCTGGGTCCTGACTTTCGATCAGCTCGGCTCCGGCCATTGCGGCCATCTGGGGAGTGAACCAGCGGATGGGAGACCTCTCTCTGTCTCTACCTCTCTTTGTAACTCTGTCTTTCAAATAAATAAAATCTTTTTTAAAACTTTTTTTTAAAATAACAGGAGCAGGAATTATGGCACAGCAATGGATGCCTGCTTCCCATATTGGAGTTGCCTGGGGTTAAGTCCCCTGTCTGCATCCGATTCAGTGTATCAGCGTGCATCCTGGAAGGTGCAGATGATGACTCAAGTACCTGGGTCCCTACCACCACGTGGGAGATCCAGATGAAGTTCTGGCTCTTGTCTTCTGGGAGTGAGCCAGTGGGTGAGAGAGTTGTATTCCTCCGCCCTTCAAATAAAAATAATAATAAATTTAAAAATAAAAGGATGTGGTTCACAACTTAAATAAAATGAACAAAGGATGTGGTTAACAAATAAAATGAACAAAGTTTTCTTACAAAATGTTGGAAAATTAGATTCCATTAGAAATTTTATTAGGGTAAATAAGGATTTGAAATTTGGATAGAAAAATCTTTTGAAGAAATGTAGACATTTTTAGATAATGCCTAAACCCTTTAGTGAACTGACTTTAATAAGTATAGTAAGTCTTCAGAACCAGAACTGTCTTATTTTTAGAAACAGTGTTTAAAATTTCTTACTCAATAGTTAAAAATTATACCCATAAAATCATATCATCAGTTTATTCATGAATTTTGGCACAGGTGTTTAATGTTGGTCTGTAAAGGAATTGTCAGTTCATCTGAATCAGTGAAATTTTAAAATGTCCTATGGGACTGGCATCATGTAGCTTGTTAAGCAGCTGCTTGTGATGTTGACATCTCATATAGGTGCTGGTTCAAATCCTGGTGTCGGACTTCTGATCCAGTTCCCTATTAATAGTCTGGGAAAAGCAATGGAGGATGGCCCAAGTGCTTGGGCCCCTACTCCCACGTGGGTGATCCAGCGGAAGCTCTTGGCTCCTGGCTTCAACCTAGCCCAGATCTGTCGCAGCCATCTGACCAACAGATGGAAAGTCTCATCTCTTCCTCTCTCCTTCTCTCTCTGTAATACCTTTCTTTGGGCTTGATTAATTTGGCAGAGCAGTTCACAAGACTCAGGGAAACGTTTTGAGTTTGCTGGTTTGTTATAAAGGATGGTGAAGGACACAGATGACAGGGTGCAGAGGAAGAGGTGTGGAGCATCCATTCCCTTTGCAGGGGATCACCTGCCACGAACCCTCCATGCGCTGCCCTTCCAAAACTGCACCCTGTCCTTTCAGGTCAGTCTGTTTATAAGAAATCAGAGTCACAGAGAGAAGGAGAGGCAGAGAGAGAGGGCTTCCCCATCCACTGGTTCACTCCCAAAATGGCCACAGCAGCTGGAGCTGTGCCAATCCGAAGCCAGTAGCCAGGAGCTTCTTCCAGGACTCCCATTTGGGGGCAGGGGCCCAAGGACTTGGATCATCATCTCTGCTTTCCCAGGCCATAGCAGAGAGCTGGATTGGAAGTGGAGCATCCCCTGTGGGATGCCGGCACTGCAGGTGGCGGGCTTTACCAGCTACAACGCAGTGTGCAGGCTCCCCTTTCACGGTTTTGTGGAGGCTTCATTACATCAGTGTGAGTGACTAAATCATTGCCCATTGGCGATTGGCTTAAACCTTCAGCCCCTGCCGGTTCCCAGTCCTCTACCTGCTGTTGTCTCCTGTGAGCAGCTGCCATCCTGAAGCTACCTGCCAGCCCTCAGTGAACTCAGTAGTACACGACGAGCCATTATCACTGTGGCGATTCCAAGGCTTTTAGGAGTGTATGCTAGGAACTGGAACAAAGACCAAATAGAAACTTCACAATATCACAGAGAGCCAACAGTTTCTGTACCCTTTGTTGAAAACCACTGTTCTTTGGGGCCAGCGCCTTGGCGCAGTAGGTTAATTCTCCACTTGCGGTGCCGGCATCCCATATGGGCACCGGTTCTAGTCCCAGCTGCTCCTCTTCCAGTCCAGCTCTCTGCTGTGGCCTGGGAAAGCAGAAGATGGCCCAGGTCCTTTGGCCCTGCACCCATGTGGGAGACGGGG